TGTATATTTTTGAAAATTCATTACACAGCAGTCAATATTTTGAATTTTGTCAAAGTTTTAAAAATATACAACAGTCGACATGCAGAGATTTCAACTGCTCCGGACAAGCTGAAATAATTAAAAAAACGGTAAATAACTACAAAGTAAATTTTGCAAATATTTGACTATTTTTGCTTGTTTTTAAAAGGCATAGCATAACATGAGTACTATAAAGTGGTGAATTCTATAAACCTACGAATTATTTAGAAATAGTGATGGATAAAAATCCTCTAAATTGAATTTATTAAACCAAGAAGCACAATTGGTAAACTACCACTTTAAAATACATATTTGCTGTCCGGAGCAAGTTGGCATCTCTGGACATGTCTCAAGCACTCAAAAATAACCGCCCATTTTCAAAACTTACCAAGCATGAATGAGAGGAAACAAAACTAATTTGAGATATAAAACGTAAAATTGCCAGTGAAAAATGGAATTTCTCACCTTTATTTTTCCACCTTTTGCTAGCAACTTTACGTTTTATTATTTCAAATCGCTTTTGTCTTACCTCATGCACGTATAGCAAGTCTTGAAAATGGGATTCTATTTTTTAGCGTTTGAGATATATCGACTGTTATTTCAAATTTTTTATAATTTTGAAAGGAATAAAGTTTTTTTTATCAAGTAATAAACGGTTTAGTTTATAATTATACTCGCAAGCATTTGAGGTTTTTATGAAATATCTCGTTTAGTAATAATGAACTGAGCAGAGATAAAATAAATAAAATTAATATAAGACTTTATCAAAATTTTAACTTTTTATATACTTCTGTTTAAATATTTGTATGTAAATATGGACAAATCTCTTTTAAATCTTAATTTATTGGAATAATAATACTTTTTCTTAGCTACCTCTAGGAAAATATTTTCCTTAATATTTTAAATAATAGAAAATTCGTAGTAGTATGCTATAACGAAAATGTCACAAAACATCAATATAGAGAAAAGCCAAACTTTCCTTAAATAAAATAAAGTGAAATGAAATATGATTTAGTACTTTAATATAGTGAAAAGTTACTGAAATGCTGCGTTTGAGTTCATCGAAAATCAGAAAAAAATGAAAATTAATGAGTAATTCCAATAAATTTCTTCATGCAAGTGACGTCATGGTTATCATGGATTAGAGTCTTCCTTTCAGCAGGCTGACTGTGGAAGATTTTCGTGGTTTTCGTGGTCGTTTAACAATGAGTATCAATGCCTTTTTTGCATTTCTGTAAAATATTTTATTTTAATGAACTGAAATTTTTTAATGAAAAGAACTGGAGGGAGAAATGTCCTGGAAAAGGCCAATAAAGACCTACTGCGGACTGTTGTGTCAGTGATGATAATGATAACGTTATTTAAATGTTTTATTAATTTCTCACTGTGAAAAAGTGAATTTAAAATATAGTTATTAAAGTTACGTTTTATTTTTTTTAAGCATCATAGCATAATAAAGTACTGGGATAAGGGGGTGTTTATTCACTGGATCACCAAACAATGAAAAACCAGTGAAGGAACAAGTGCTCCTTTACTGTTTTTTTTTCTAAGTTAATGAAAATAAAAGATAAACTTTAATTTTCTTGTACCTTTAGNTTTAAAGTGAATGCAAAGTCATGCTAAGATATATATGGGTCCAAAACATAAGAATGAGCATAGGGCAGACATCTATTGTAAAATAGCGTTTATGACAAACAATATCTTAGATAAATGTCACAATATTAGTTCACTCAAAACCAAAAGCAAGCAAATGCCATGATTTCCCATGAATTTATTTCTGCTGTTGATGAAATGATAAGCGGTAATTGGAGAGTTACAATTCAGGACATCGTTGTAGACTTGTTATTTGAACCTCCAAAACTTTAAAACAATATTATGTAAGTTCTCTACAGTTTTTTTTTACATAATTTGCAATCAGTAACAAATATGTTGACACTGTCATTTCACTAAAATTACGAGTTTTGAAATTAATATGATTTTTTAAAAGGCAAGCGAAGCTTAAGTGTTCCTTCACTGGTTAGTTTACCCTATATCTCCAGGAAAAAATGATATTTCTTTGCATATTACGAAATTTTTATAATTCTTCTAGTTTATATAATATTTGAGAGTTGTTCATATTTCGTTATTCTATTGAAGTTAATGAAAAATCATGATAATAGCGTATTCGATTAATATTTTTAACGTTAATACTCGTGACATTGTTTTTCATGTTTGTTATTGTTGATAATTACGGTATACTAGATATATTGTAAGATAAGATATTTATGATAAAGATTGAGAAATTTTTTTTACATATCTTTATCGTAATGTTTAAAAATAGCGATATTTTTATGATACATCGATATTACTCTCAGCTCAACTCAAGCTGATGTACTAGCTTCAGCACTAGTGGTAAAGTAGGCAATCATTGATAAGAAACAAAAGATGTACAGTTTTCAAATAAACTTGGCACTTTATTTCTATGACACAACAAGAGATTTTTACATCTTTAGAAAATTCACTAGGCATGCAGGTATTGGCAAGTGGTATTTATAACAACAACATCAACATCTTTATAAATATATAAACAAATATTATATAGCATTTTATTATCTAAGTGACGCACAGCACTGAAACGGTCCAAAAATCGAGTTCTTTTCTGAAATATTTTAGAATTAAATAAAGAATGCTGCAGTGTGGCGACAACCTGTAAAAGATAGTGGTGACACATGTTTTATGTGGTTATTGTAAACTTTAATTTCAGATCAATTTTAGGAATTCAGTTTCTTATTCACATCACAACACAGATAATTAATTTAAAAGCATTTCTGTTTCATAGTAACTTGGATTAACAATTTGTTTCTCTGATCTTTTAATCTTTTCTGGAATGTGGAGAAATTGAATAAAATAAAAAATAATGGATATTCAATAAGAAAAGTTTTTTAAAATGAGTTTCCGAAATTCATACATTTGAAAAGAATGATATTGACTACTGCTCTCAGTAATGGCTTCAATTATACACCCCACTTCTAATAGTATATGAACTGCTCTTCTAGTTTGTGCGCGATAATTTAGCAAAGGGTTCAAGAATCACCTTTCTTTATCTCATCAACATGTGAGGGTGACATATGTATTAACCAAGCATTCTCACTCTATCTGGCCGAGAACAATATATCGAAACATGCCAATTTATGCCCGGATTAGATTTACAACTAGATCATAATATATTCACTGGGAGTATTTTCATTTAAGTATCATGCATTTAACCTTAAACAGTCAGTGTTGGGTATATTGTAGAAATATATACGAGGCAATGGATCTTAACCTTAAAAATCATGTTTGTTTTGTCGACTGGTCTGTTTCCACCTTCAAAACGGATGTTTATCTTTCCACATAATCGCTTGTTTATCAGTATTACAGGTCCCGCAGTGGAGTGATCGTTAAGACACGGTTCTCAGCAGATCACCGAAGTCAAGCATCACTGGCTACGGTCAGTGTGCGGGTGGGTGACCCCTTGGATCAGTTTGCGTAGGGACCGAGAGTGTGCAGTATTATTCCTCGTTAAACTGTTCTACCGTAAAGTGCTCGATTTCGCGTGCAGGTCGACGGGCTACCGAAGCGGGGGTGCCATCCCCTCTGCAGAGGATCAAAATTGTGATGGCATGTCTTCGGATCATCCTCAGGGATGTTTCCTAGACCGTCGCCAATAGCCCATCTTGCAGCTCTAGTGCGACGTAAATTAACTGCAACAACAACAATCAGTATTACAGAGATGTGTCAGATACAGCGCTTACGAATCTTTAAACGTCAAACGCGTTTTTCTCTAACAGCCATATTTTCAAACTTGTACAATTGAGATTAGAAAAAAAAATTCTATTTTGCTCTAAAGAGATTATAAATAATTGAAGTTTATACAATATTTTTTTTCCTATGAGCTGCACAATCAGTCTTCCCGATGAGCAGACCTAGTGCGTTCTCCAGAAGTTGTATCCACTCTTTCAGGACCACCACAATGGGTGAGATACCGTTGGCCATGTTAATTTGGACGTCTAGTTTCTGCCACACTAGATGACAGCATCGAGACTCTAGTTTATACAATATAGCATCACAGAAATGATTCAATATATCAGTTGTTTAATTATTAGCCTCGTAAGTTAATTGTTAAGTCAGTTCGCTTTTTGTATATTTTTTTAAATGAAAAAAGACATTTATTCAAAATTTTTATGAGTTTATAGGAAACACTATATCCATTTAATTTTGATAGTTGTGTTATAGTTTTCGATAATTTTCAGAAGAACCATAGTGATGAGCGCCCTTAAATTCTTCATCTTAACATTCAACAATATTTTAAAATATTTATTTTTAACAGTTTATATTGATTACCATTGTGATACATAATGACTCTCGCAAAAAAAGGTATAGGATTAAAAAATTCTCAGCTGTCAGTTTGTCAATATATAAAGAGAATAGCGGAAGAAGCTTTAAGTGGCAATTTTTGAAAAAAATTTTTTTAATTTAATTTTAGTCTCATTTAACGGCACTACGTCAATTTATTTTTAAATTTTGATCAAAAATCTTAGTGGATAAAGTATTAAACAGTCTTTAAGTATATTTCGGCGTGGAAGAAAGTTCCAAGTACATTTGGTAAGAAACTGTCAACGAGTAATCTAAAAGCTTCTATTTTGGCAGCAAATTGAAATGTAAAGAGCACGAACGCAATGACGCAAACAAATTGAGGTTTTAGGATATTCTAATTTGAAGCTTATGGAAAGGAGGCGTTCTTTATTGTAAAGTTATAAATGCAACGAAGTGTTTCTCAGCTTCTCCATGCTCTTTAAGTATGAAACTCGAAGAACTCATGGCAGACACTGAGACTTTTTCTCACCAATGGCGTTTTTACAAAACACTGAAATTCAAAATAAGCTCGTTGAAAGCTATGCTACTCTAGGAAGAGCAAAGATCATGTCCTTTGTAAAATAATAGATACATCTAATGCTTTTAATGAGGGAATATAACTAGATGGGATACGGTGCCTGATGCAATGGAGAAATTTTTTGAGTCGTGATTTTTATTGGTTTTTTTTTGTTTGATGAAAACTGAAAAAAAAAAAAACTAGAAATTTCTAATTTCGAAAAGAATATCATAATCAAAAATTTTTGAATCTCTTGGGGGTTACGTAATAAATTTAGTTTCGAATTGTATTTTTCTGCTCATAGCAAAACCAGTTCCGCTGTAGTTACCATGTGTCCCAAAAATGACTGATGAATTTTGAAAAAGGAACGGAATGGAACAATATTGTAAGGTTTACGGCAATCATACGTATGTAAAAATGTTTAACGCTAAGAGAAAGTGCTAAATCTCTTTAATGTACCTACACTTTTTCCTTGTACCGTAAATCGCAAATTCATATGTAATACTTCTTACCCGAATTTATTGCGAAATCCGGCTCGCTTTATCTTTCTACAATTCTTTGCAAAATAATCATATACCTCATTGTTTCCACATCGCGTTGTTTCGTCCTGCAGTGAGGATAATTCAATAAAAAATACATCAGTTTCCGAAGAGCTACCACCACTATGTGTTTCATCCGTTGCAAGACAAATCATGTCATCAATGCTCTTGTAGTTGCAAACGGCGCAATGCGGGTTTCGATAGTGAAAAATATATAGCCCACCCTTGCTCAAAATTCTAGTCAAAGCCATGTAAGCCAGACACTTTTTATGGACAGTGTCATCCGTCCAATCATCAGCGCATTCTGCCATTATTTCGAAATTATAACAATAAGGCACGACATTTTTTAATTTGTCTGGGAAAGGTGCATGCAAGGAAACTTCGACTTCAATATTATTCTCGAGTGCCAGAAACCATTCACGACCATTAGAATTCAGTTTCGGTATTGACGTGGTATTAAGTTTATGACGTATGCAATTACTTTTTATTTTTAAATCCCATGGTATTGGTTGTTCTTCTCCATTGTTTCTGTTGCAAGCGTAGCAATAGTAATTCTTATAAGAAATACCTGTTACAGGATCAGTAACAGGTATTTCCAAAAAAGGATCGTCATATCTATAGCTTTTGCATAGCTTTTCGGTAATGTCATCGTAAAGCATGTCGGGATCACAACTGTTAATCATGGGTAAATATCGATCTTTTTCACCATATCGGAAATATTCGCATTTGACGTTCTTCAAAGGTACTATGTAATTGTTTCTATGCTTAGAGTCTACGCAGCATGTACCTAGATAACTGCAGGAAACGCCACAGTTGCAATGTTCAACAACATTCTGTCTTCTGGGTAATTCACAGGAATCTAAACCCTTGCATGTTGCATTCAAATCTTCGATATCCGTGTATGTAACGTCAGATAATGAGGTTTTGAAACATCCAATGTTTACAAAGGACTTGAACAAAATCAACAGAGGAATAGCAGGGAATACTTTCCATTCAAACTGCATTGTTGGTAAGATCTAGAAATAATAGGAGCGAAAATTATTGTTTGCTATAAATATTAATTAAAAAATTATCATCCTTTAATGTTTGTTAGTTTTGATGCGACTCTAAAAAAGAAAATCACAAAAATTTAATTACAGAACAAATTGCTAAATAAGAAGAAATTGAAATAAATTTAGTCACAGAGGTTGATAATAAAATGTTTATTTATCCAAATTATTTTCATTAGTTTTTTTATTTATCAATTACTGCAAAATTGACTTGCATTATAAGTTAATGAAAAATATTTTTAACCATGCGTATAGTGAGTAAACTTTAAGGTTATTCTTAGGAGACTCTGTAGTCAAATGTGAAGATCAAGGGAAAAAATCAGTTTACATATATTTTTCACAAAAATGACAATTGGACAGCCAATTGATGTTATTTGAGAATTGCTAAGTTTTGACAAATCAGTAACATAGAAAATTGGTTCTCCCCTGGGGCCCTATTACCAACTCATCGACATTTATTCCGCTCGGAAACGATTCCGATCGGAAACTAGCTTTCATCGGATTGCCAATTTCGTAAAACCCACTGTGCCACAACATGAGCATTTCGAAATCCGGAATCGAAATCGCCATTCCACACGATTCCGGTGAAATTGAAGTTAGTAGGCGGGGCTAACTTTGACCAATTAAAAAATTATTATAATTTTAATTTATTAATCTGGAAACGATATGTTTGTATTCTCTACTTCTATGCGAGTTAAAATCGCATTAACTTAGAACAGAAAGCTTAAAAGTTCATACTTTTTCAACAATTTTGTGTTCTAAAAGCCAAGTTTGTGTTTATTTGAAGTACAGAGTGTAGTGTAGAGTGAAATTACAACGTAGTATTTTCAAATGGCTTCACGTACAAAAATTTATATTCGCCTGCAAACAATGATTGTGGAATATCTAGAAAACAATCCAGATTAAAATAAAGGAAGCCTTACCGGCATATTTGGCGTAATTCCCACTATAAATATTAAATACCAAATCACTACTGTATAAGACATGTTAACTTGCAACTATCTTAAAGTACCTTTAGTTGAAGGTTAACACAGTCGATTGTTAAATCCCTACACATGCATATTTCAAACAATATAGGAAATTCTAATAGCTAACTTTGGTAATTCCGTTTTTTAGCTAAAATTCTATTGTTTTTTTGTACATTTTTTTTATGTAGCCTCTGTTATTAATTTCCACAATCCAACATTATTCATTTCCACTACTGAATTTCGCCTATGAGTAACACCATTTTAAATAAAACTAATTTCCAATCTAAATTAACTTCTAAATTTTGTTGCCGGAATATTGGAATACCCAAAATCTTTTAGGCCGATGGATCTTTCTCTTAATAGTGTTTCGATCACTCTCTTCAGCAATAGCTGGCTGTATGGCGGAAAACAGCGCCATTTTGTTCACTAAAATAAACAAACTCTTATCGAAATCTAGATTTCGCTTACTCTTAAACTTGCCGGAAAGGGATTCGTAATAATTTCGCATCGGAATTTAGTTCCGAGCGGAATTAAGAGCTCGTAATACGACTTAACTGACATTCACGGATTTATGACGTCACGAGAGCTTCATTTCGATCGGAATCAGATTCCGTGAACCTGGTAATAGGGCCCCTGGGGCCCTATTACCAACTCATCGAAATTTATTTCGCTCGGAAACGATTCCGATCGGAAACTACCTTTCATCGGATTGCCAATTTCGTAAAACCCACTTTGCCGTAACATGAGCATATCGAAATCCGGAATCGAAATCGCCATTCCGTACGATTCCGGTGAAATTGAAGTTTGTAGGCAGGGCTAACTTTGACCAATTAGAAAATTATTATAATTCTTATTTATTAATCTGGCAACGATATGTTTGTATTCTCTACTTCTATGCGAGTTAAAATCGCATTAACTTAGAACTGAAAGCTTAAAAATTCATACATTTTCAACAATTTTGTGTTCTAAAAGCCAAGTTTGTGTTTATTTGAAGTATGGAGAGTAGTGTAGAGTGAAATAACAACGTAGTATTTTCAAATGGCTTCACGTACAAAAATTAATATTCGCCTGCAAACAATGATTGTGGAATTCCTAGAAAACAATCCAGATTAAAATAAAGGAAGCCTTACCGGCATATCTGGCGTAATTACCACTATAAATATTAAATACCAAATTACTACTATATAACACATGTTAACTTGCATCTATCTTAAAGTACCTTTAGATAGTTGAAGGTTATCACGGATGATAGTTAATATCCCCACACATGCATATTTCAAACAATATAGGAAATTCTAATTACTAACTTTGGTAATTTTTTTTTTAGCTAAGATTCTATTGTTTTTTGTACATATTTTTTTTATATAGCTTCTGTTATTAATTTCCACAATTCGATATTATTCATTTCCACTACTGAATTTCGCCTATGAGTAACACCATTTTAAAAAAAACTAATTTCCAATCTAAATTAACTTCTAAATTTTGTTGCCGGAATATTGGAATACCCAAAATCTTTTAGGCCGATAGATCTTTCTCTTAATAGTGTTTCGATCACTCTCTTCAGCAATAGCTGGCTGTATGATGGAAAACAGCGCCATTTTGTTCACTGAAATAAACAAACTCTTATCGAAATCTAGATTTCGCTTACTCTTAAACCTGCCGGAAAGGGATTCGTAATAATTTCGCATCGGAATTTAGTTCCGAGCGGATTCAAGAGCTCGTAATACGACTTAACTGACATTCACGGATTTATGACGTCATGAGAGCTTCATTTCGATCGGAATTAGATTCCGTGAAGCTGGTAATAGGGCCCCTAGAGCGATTACGCAGCGACGATGTGTAATCGTAATCGGAGAGAACAGATTATAGAAAAACAGTATTCATATACAGAAGCCGTCCGGTTGTGGAGTTTTGTGGAAAAACACTTCCTGTCAATTCGCGAATTTGTTTTTACTGAGAATCAACCTTCATGGACATTAACTGTTATTATTAAACAATAAAGTAATTCCAAGAAAATGAAACGGTAAGATAGTACTTGATCAAAAACATCAAAAATATACAAATTGAAAACAACAGTCGACTTGTCTCAAGCTTTCAAAAATAGGCGCCCATTTTAAAACTTACCGTACATGAATGAGAAGAAACTAAACTGATTTGAAATATAAAACCTAAAATTGCCAACGAAAAATGGAATTTCTCAATTTTACGTTTTATGTTTCAAATCGCTTTTGTTTCACCTCATGCACGTGTAGCAAATCTTAAAAATGGGAGCCTATTTTTGAGCGTTGGAGATATGTCGACTGTTATTTCAAATTTTTATATTTTTGAAAAGAATAAAGTTTTTTTTATCAAGCAATAAGTCGTTTAGTTTATGATTATATTATACCCCCAAAGATTTGAGGTTTTTATGAAATATCTCGTAATGAGCTAAGCAGAGCTTTTTTTTAAATAAATAAAATTAAAATAAGACTTTATCAAAACTTTGACCTTTAATACTTGTGTTATTTGCATGTAAATATGGGAAAATTTCTTTTAATTTTTAATTTATTGGAATAAAAATGCTTTATCTTAGCTACCTCTCGGAAAATATTTTCAATAATATTTTAAATAATAGAAAATCCTTAGTAGTATGTAACGAAAATGAAGATATGCTACAACGAAAATGTCACAAAACATCAATACAGAGAAAAGCCGAACTTTCCTGAAATAAGATAAAGCGAAAATAAATATGATTCAATGCTTTAATATTTGAAAAGTTACTGAAACGCTGCATTTGAGTTCATCGAAGATCAGAAAAAATAAAGATTAATTAGTAATTTTAATAAATTTCTTCATGCAAGTGACGTTTTTTTAAAATATTTCTTAAAGGAAAAAAAAAATAAAAGAGAGGAATAGCTGATACACATAGTTTAAAAACATAGCTTCTCTTTTAGTTTAAGGAGCTTTTTCATTATTTTTGGAGAGCTTTGAAGAATATACTTAAAAAACTCATTAAAGTTAAGTTTTAAGAACATCATAATATTTCAACACATAAATGTTCACTTTCCATTAAATTCACGTAGTTTAATTAAATTTAAATTAAAATACATATTCTTCTTCGTAAAAGATTGGAACTCTTTAGAAACTAATTCATTTCATAAAAAAAAATCGCTGTACTATAAATACTCATTTCCAATCACTGAACTCCTTTTGAAGAAACTGAATTAATGATAAATCATAGAAAATTAATTAAAAAAACAATTTTTGGTATGACACGAGTAGCAAAATAGCAGCAACATGTTTTTTGTTGTTGTTGTTTTTATCTCATAACTAATCTCTATCCTCCTATTAGTCTATCTCCTCCACGCCTCCTTGATTTGTATATCCTTCTGCACTTCTTTGAAAAATGATCGTATATCATGTTATCGTCACATTTTGTAGTTTTGTCTTGAAGAGAGAATAATTTCACAAGTAAAATATCCGTTTTCCAATCCTTCCAACCGTAAATCTCTTCCGTTACGAGACACATCAAATTATCTATGCTCTCATAATTGCAAATGGCGCAATGCGGATTACGATAGTACTTAATTGAAAAACCGTCACTACTTATAATTCTCGCCAGAGCCATATAAGATAAACATTTCTTTTCGATGTCGTCATCAGTCCATTCGGAATCGCATTCTGACACGATGTGATGATTATAACAATAAGGTGTAACATTCTTCAATTCTTCAGGAATGGTTGTATTTAAGAAAACGTCGATTGACATTTTGTCGTCGTAGTCCATAACCCACGTCTTTTTGTAACTATCATAACGGAGAGGCGGTATTGTATTGTTTGTTAGAAATGGTTTACGTATACAACCGCTTTGTATTTTAAAATTCCATGGTATTGGTTGTTCTTCTCCGTAATTCCTGTTGCAAGCGAAGCAATAATAGTTCCTGTACGAAATACCTGTTACGGGATCAGTAACGGGTATTTTTAAAAAGGGATCGTTTAGTTCTTCAGCAGTACTGTTGCAGAGTTTTCGGTTGGTTTCATCGGATTGCATATCCGGATCGCAACTACTTATCATCGGTACATAACGGTGCTTTTTGTCATAAATATTGAAAGCGCATTCAACGTTTTTTAGAGGTACTACGTAATTGTTTCTAAATTTTGAGTCCACGCAGCATGTTCCGAGAAGACTGCAGGAGCTACCACAGTTGCAATGTTCATGCGCATTCTCTCTTTTTGGTAATTCACAAGAGTCTAAGCCTTTGCATGTTGCATTTATAGCTTTGATGTCCTCGTAAGTCACATCGGACGATGGAGCGCTGAAGCATTCTAAGCTAAGGAAAAACCCGAACAAAATCAACAGTGGAACTGTTGGAAATGCCTTCCAATGCAACTTCATCCTGAGTTTTATCTAAAAAATAATATAAAAGTTTGGTAAATATTGTGTTTAGTTACAAACGATAATTGAAGAAATGCGCTTAGTTTTTAAAAATTCTATATTAGTTTCAGAAAGATGGCAGCAATATAAATTTTGTAAAAAAGTTTAGGGGAGAAAAAAATTTGATAAGAAAAACAAGAGGGAAAAAAACTACATCTTGGTCATTCTGTCGTATTACAGATCTTAAGCTAGATAATTTTATTGTTTATTTAGAATTATTCATTTGCTGATTCACTGATTCACCAGTTCATTGAATTGACAATTCATTAAAATTACAATTCACTAAACTACCAATTCATTGATTCACTGATTCGAAAATCTATTGATTCACTGATTCACAAATTCATTAATTCACTGATTTATAAATTCTTTGATTCATTGCTCTACTGGTTCAGTTTATCACTGATTGACTGATTTGCATCTTTTATTAACTTGTTCATTTCTTTTTTTATTTACTTGATATACCAAATATTATTTTATCTGATAGACAGTAAAACTCCTAATGAACATAAGACGGTTCGTCGCTATAACTCAATCTTACCTAAAACTATGTGATGACATTATAGGCATTACATATTTCCTAGCTTTTAAAAATTTCTATTATTTCATAAATTAATTTTTTTAATCGTTCGTAATCCAATTATACTTAAATTAGAGCAATTTTTTTAATTTTTATCACATATTATAAGAAGTGAATATAAATACTTTTATCTTTTTCTAATCAATCAATGCAATGGCTAACTTTTTAATTCAGTACAAATTTATAACTCATTCAGAGCTCCCTTTGACGTAGAGTGATTCTACTCAAACAAGATCACCGAGATTGCTGCCTGTGTGCTTTCAACCCATGGGTATATTTGTTCTTAAGTGGACACGACACTACCATCTTCTACCGTTCAGTACCGTCACGACGTATTCGTCTTCTTCAAGGTTCTGGTACTGAAAAATATTATTAAAGTTTGCGGCATTGCAGTATCAAAAAATTTCTGGTTTAATTTGGCGACGTGCTTGTCGAATCTTTCTGTTACAAGATCTTACTGGTGGTCTTTCTTTCGCATAAACCATTTTGCTTTAGTTATTTTTCTCAGAATTTTATTTCGAAAAATGACAAGTTTCTTCATTTGCGTTTTTGAAATGTTGCCCATTGCTGATGATATGTGAGTATTGGTTTAATCATCGAAACATAAATTAGTTGTCTTGTTATTTTGATATCTAATTCTGATTTGGAAAAGATAAATGATGGGAATTGCAACTAGATATATTTATTTAGAAATATTAATCATGGCTGGGAATAAAAACTTAAAAACATAATTTTTTTTAAAACTTTTACTACTACTTTTAGAAATTTATAAGCATTTTATGAAGCCTACATTTAAACGTTTAGTAACCACTATTCTTTAAACTATAAAGATATAAAGCATGCCACTTCACTTAGAATACATCGCCTAAGGTCGCACTTGCTTATGTTGTGCAAGACTAAAATTTTCACTGGAAATTTGTTATTACGGAAAAGGTAAACAAGACTTAATATCGATAGTTCCCTTCTACATAACTAGATTCCATACATATCTACAATTCTTAACTTGTTCGTTCGTTGAAAAATATTTTTCTTGGTGATATCTCACCTGACAACTTTTGTTTCCTTCCAAAAATGATTTTTTTCGAAATAGTAGTAAAATGTTAATTGAAAAATCTACTGTAGCCAAATATCTTTTCATGTTTTGTTTAATCTTAAACACATAAACATGGGTTTTTAATATATTTGTATACGAGTTTAATGAATTAATTTATAATGATAAATAAAATATTTCTTTACTAAATTAAAAAATCCAAGAATGAAATAAAAAAGCAGAATTTTTGCTCTCAATTTAAATACAAAAAATAAAATATTCCGGAAAATCTGGGAGAATTGATAGCTGTGCTATATCAATATTTGATCTTGGTTCTAAAAAAAATTCTTTTTAATTTTTTTATACCAATTATGCCAAATTAATAATATAAACGCATGTATAAGAGTTACAAGTTAAGTTGGCAGCTATGTATTACAAGAAATTTTCCCAAAAGTCAGATCAATTTGCAAGGCTGACAACTTGCTACGCTTTTTGCGAAAATTTCTTTTAGTAGTAGCTAAGTTTACATTTTAATGTATCTTTCTTTGCTTTATAAATGTTATTTAAAGTTATTTTTTACACGTAAATGATGTAGCAGCCTTTCATCCCTTCAGTGGGTCGATAAATGAGTACCAAGCATGCAGGGGAACTAAACACTGGGGGTTCCGCGTTCGGCTGACCACCTGACCGGAACATCTGCTCCTGCACTCCAGAGCCCAAGATCAAAAAAACTGAGATGGGCACAGTAGACCTTAACTCTCTATGGGCTGTCACGCCACTGAGTTTAGTTTACATGAAAATGATACAAAAGTTTTATATGAAATCCCACTTTTATCCAGCTCTTTCGTGGTAAAACTTTTAAAATGTTGACAAAATTAACCAAATTTCTGAAAGCTTTAGTGTCTAATTGTCTAATTATTAAATTATGAACGAGACTATTTCAATTAATTGTTAAATTATAATTAGACTAAATTTTTTTGTTGTACTTTGCATCAATATTTCAAGTATTTTGCAAAAAGTGTAGTAAATTGCAGCCCTGACTTTGCCAGCTATCAATATCTCTTGATTTTATTATCTACTATGTGTTTTTTATTGTCCATATAAAAATCTAATTCAAAATTTTATTTCACAAGCATTTCATAACTTGAATATACTAAACAGGAAAAAAAATGAATTAATACAAAACTATCACGAAACTAGCAAAAATATTGTATAGAGCAAAATACATGAACAAACAAAAACACTCCAACTTAAAAAGCTTTGTGTTGTTTATTGTTTCTATCAGCGTATTACAGTGTGCAACGTATAAACGGAGCACCTTAATAATTTTTGATTTAATGATTGGATTTTTGCTATGTAACCTATACGTTTAATCCATGCATAACTTCCAACTAGTTCAGAACTTTCGTAGTTTTAGAAAATATTTTTCTTAAAGGTAGCAAAGGAAATGTATTAAGATCTTAATAATAAAGTTAGAATTAAGACCATTTCGTTCATCATTACAAATAAATACATTAAGCGAATATATCAAAGGTCAAATTTATGAATTTTTAAGTTAATACTCTTAGAGGTTAAATTTTTAACAAAAAAAAAAGTTACGCTTCTAGTCTTTTTTTTTTGGCGCAAAATTTTTTTAAATTTAAATAAAAAAATTAATAATGCAAAACAAATTGATAATGCGGTTCTTACGTAAAGTTATTACTTAATAATACGTAAGAACAGCATTAATTTGTTTATTATACATATAATTACGGATTAAAGTTATTATTACGTAATTTAAGTGAACTTATTAAATATGCCGTATCGTTATGTAAATTGTTAAATTTTTGATTGGTACTTTTTGATTGGATTTCAAAATATCCTAGTCTGGGTGCCTAAACATTTACTGAAACTCCCTAACTTCTTAAGAGAAATACTTTATTCAAAAAGTTTTCATAAATGATAAAAATCATGATATCAGTTGATATTAAACTGAAAATATATTCAAAGATCAAGTTTGATAATTAGAAATAATTATTATCCTCTTATTTTTTAATATAACCAAATAATTAAGAATTGTGCAAAGTTATAATAATCATCTTCTTTGATTTAAGATCACTTTCCATATTCAGACTCAACGTTCAGATTCAAATACTCAAGAAATTTTTCAAAACCGGGATGAATTTTACATCCTATTAAAATGCTAATTTGCTTTTTAAGGGATATCAATTGAATATCGCTATAACTGAGAAATATATTGGCTTTGAATGAAACAGACAGATTAATGATATTCATATTTCAGGTATTCTCAAACTTTAAATAAAAAATCATTCAAGGCATCGTGAATGATATCAAAAAATCACTGGCATCTTCAGGTTTTATAACACTTGTTACTCAAGATATCAGTGATGAATATCATGGTACTAATTAATATCACTAATTAATATTCCAAACATTCTCAGGCTTTAAAATACTTATTTTGAATATCCTAAATAATGAATAAGAAACGAAAAAATCGCGAACATTCTCAGATTTCTTTAGAGTCAATGAGACAGATTGATATATTGAATGTTATGATATTCTTGAATAAGAGTCCCTTATTATTTAAGAATATCATGAATAATCATAGTTATCAGACTTTAAAATAACAATACTTATTTTAAATATCCGAAATAATGACTAAGAAACGAAAAAAAAAATCACTGATATTATCAGATTTCTTAGAAGCCAATGAGACAGTCTGATATCTTGAATGCCATGATATTCTAAAAATAAGATGCACTCATTATCATAATAATCATAGTTATCAGACTTTATGATTACAATATTTTAAATATCCTAAATAATGAATAAGAAACGAAAAAATCACGAGCATTCTAAGATTTCTTTAGAGTCAATGAGACATGAATATTGAATGCCATGATATTCTTGAATAAGAGTCCCTTATTATCAAACAATATCATGAATAATCATAATTATCAGATTTTAAAATAACAATACTTATTTTAAGTATACGAAATAATGAGTAAGAAACAAAAAAAATCACTGATATTCTCAGATTTCTTAAAAGCCAATGAGACAGATTGATATATTAAACGTCATAATTTTCTTGAATAAGTGTCCCTTATTGTTTAAGAATATCATGAATAATTATAGTTATCAGACTTTAAAATAACAATACTTATTTTAAATATCCGAAATAATGACTAAAAAACAAAAAAATATCCCAGACATTCTCAGATTTCTTAAATGAGACAGTCTGATATCTTGAATGCCATGATATTCTTAAAATACGAGGCGCTCATTATCCAAGAATAATCATAATTATCAGACTCTCTGACTTCATATATCACGAATAAAGAATATCATGAACAATGAATAACAATTGAAACTTGAGTTATCTCAGGAATTAAAACAATTCATCGTATATGAAATAAAGAATATGACTTCAAAAGAGATCATTGACTCTTACAGACTTAATACTAAGTAATGGAATACTAAATAATGCACGCTTTAAAATAACGAATAATTACTATTCAAGGATTCCTCATAAACAAAACATGATACCAAATGAAACTTATTATTTATGACATCAATTAACATTCATGGCATCAACTGGAATATTGCTAATAAGCAAGTGTTACAAAACTAAATAATTTTTATCTAATGTACCTTCTAATATAGCCATATAAATAATGCTTTGTTATCAGTTATCTGGTAATACTTTGGTATCAGTATAGTACATTTTTGAGCAGAGATTAGGAAATATCCATTTATAATTTTTTTTTTTTGTCGTCGCTGAATTAACATCTCTCAAAACAAGAATCAGATTACTCGTTAAAATGGCAAAAGATGTAAAACGAAAATCAAATTTTACTCTCAGACACAACATTTAATAAATTGCTAATTTTCATTTCTCAAGGGTATCAAATGAGCATGACTTGAATCGAGAAGTGCTCTGACATTGAATAAAACAAAAAGACTAACGATGTATTTCATAATCTTAAGCAATTACACCCATTCTACGTCGAAGTAATAGTGGTATAATTGATGATTGGCATGATACCAATTGACGATTTCAAATATTAAAACCATAATGAAAACTATAATATTTAATATATTCTGAATTATGACTATGACGCCGAAGGCAATTGCTAACACTTTATGGAATAATTACACTTATTTGTCAAGAATAACCTGAATAATGAACATCATGATACCGATTGAGATTACTAATATTCTTAGACTTTGAAACAAGCAAAGTTATTATTTTAGATTTCCTATTTAATGATCTCAGTCTTATAACAATAATACTTACTAAAAACCATGATAATAATTGATAATCAGCTTAATACCAATTGACAATCTCAAATATTAAAACCATAATAATTGTTTAATACATTCTGAATCATGACGCCAAAAGCGATTACTAACACATTCAGGAATGATAACACTTATTTCTCAAGAATAACCTGAATAATGAACATCATGATACTGATTGAGATTACTAATATTCTTAGACATTGAAACAAGCAAAGTTTTTATTTTAGATTTCCTATTTAATGATCTCAATCTTATAACAATAATATTTACTAAAAACCATGATAATAATTGATAATTAGCTTAATACCAATGGACAATCTCAAATATTAAAACCATAATAATTATTGTTTAATACATTCTGAATTATGATGCCAAAAGCGATTACTAACACATTCAGGAATAATAACACTTATTTCTCAAGAATAAGCAGAATAATGAACATCATGATACCGATTGAGATTACTAATATTTTAGACTTTGAAACAAGCAAAGTTATTATTTTTGATTTCCTATTTAATGATCTCAGTCTTTTAACAATAATACTTACTAAAAACCATGATAATAATTGATAATTAGCTTGACAGCAATTGACAATCTCAAATATTAAAACCATAATAATTATTGTTTAATACATTCTGAATTATGATGCCAAAAGCGATTGCCAACACATTCACGAATGATAACACTTATTTCTCAAGAATAACCATAATAATGAACATTAAGATATCGATTGAGATTACTATTATTCTTACATTTCTAACACTTTCAAGAATGATAACACTTATTAAATTCCCACTATTAGTTCACACTCCCTCTTTGTCTTGTTCAAATTTTCAATCATTAATAAAATACTTTTTATTCATCCAGTCAATTTCAAATAATTTTTTTGAACTTGTAGTTGATGGCACTTGATGTTAATACAGCTTTTTTTTTAATATTAATTCATTAATTAAATAGGGATGAGCAAAAAACTAAATGGAATTTTATGATTGGATAAGCGTTATTAGTCATTGTTTTAAATTCTACTATAAGCCATTCAGTTTTTTTACATATTTTTTTTAATATTGCTTGCTTTTTTAACAATAACATGAATAATGAACATCATGATACCGATAGACATTACTATTATTCTTAGACTTTGAAACAAGCAAAGTTATTATTTTAGATTTCCTATTTAATGATCTCAGTCTTATAACAATAATACTTACTAGATATCATGATAATAATTTATTATTAACATGTTGCCAATTGACAAACTTAAATATTAAAACCATAATGATTATTATTTAATACATTCTGAATTACGACCATGATGCCAAAAGCGATTACTGACAATGTCAGGAATAATAACAATTATTTTCAAGAATAATATAAAAAATTCAAAATAAAAAATAATATTTTCAAAAGCCACGTTTTTGTAGTGGAGAATAATAATTAAAAAAAAAATAAATTTGAAAAATGAAAAACGTGGGGAGCATGAAATACATAACAGTACATATAGACATACATATACACATTTTCTTACTCATACACATGTACAGCCACATATACATCCCAATACATATGCATATACACAAACATATTCCACATACACATACACATTCAGATACAATTACAGATATACATACACATATTCTCAAGAGCACACATACACACACTAATATAACATAACTGTTATGTATTTCATGCTCCCCATGTTTTTCGTTTTTCAAATTTTTTTTTAATTATTATTCTCCACAACAAAAACGTGGTTTTTAAAAATAAAATTTTTTATTTTAAATTTTTTTTAAATTATAATTTTTTTAATTTTTCATTTTTATTTTATATTTTTTTTCAATTAATATTTTTCAATTATTATTCTTCACTACAAAAAACGTGTTTTTTAAAAAAATATATTTTTATTTAGATTATTTATTTTCTGCTTTTTTAGTTTTGTGCTTAAATAAATTTTTTAAATTCATAATTTTTAAATTTTTATTTCTCAATTATTATTCTTCACTGCAAAAACGTGGTTTTTAAAAACATATATTTTTATTTAGATTATTTATTTAGAAAAATGGTGTATTGATTTTTGAAGTTTGGTTGGTTGTAAAACTATGGATCCTTCTTGTGTTTCATAAAATTCAAACATAAGAGTGAAAAAAAATCAAAATTTTTTTAAGCCTATTCGCAAAGGAAGAGTGCTTGATATAAAATTTCAGGAGACTGAAAGTGCTTTTAAAATAGGTCCAGTCGTCGCTTGCGTTGAGTGGCTGTCTCTTTCGTCATCGTGTCAAGACTACTACAAAACCTCTACTTAAATAATAGAGCTTCAATTTTAAATTAGGGATACAAAAATCTTTATAGAAAAACAATACCTTTACGACTTTTATTAGTTTTAGGCTGATGACAACCAAAACAATCTGGAAATGAATGAGGAAAAACTGGATCCTACCACGTGATTTTTCAGCCAATAAAAATATTCCGACCATAAAAAACTTTTCACCTGACATGTGACACTAATTTGAACTAATCGAATCGGTAACAAAAGACAATCGCGAAAATATTAATTTTTTTTAAACTTTAATTTTATTTTACTTCGTATGTCTTTTTTCTCCTTATTTTCATGCATTGTCATCCGAATCCGAACTATGTGCCAAATTTGAAGTTTGTAGCTAGTCGGGATGTTAGTTTAAAATCGATTACAAAATTCCACCCGGACAGACATACACGAAGGCAAGTTAATATAAACGTGGTAAAATGAACATCATGATACCGATCGATATTACTAATATTCTTAGACTTTGAAACAAGCAAAGTTATTAGTTTAGATTTCCTATTTAATGATCTCAGTCTTATAACAATAATATTTATTAAATATCATGATAATAAAATTAAAAAAAAATCATAAATGATAAAAATTAAGTCTTTAATCGACATTAATCTAAAATACTCAATTAATAAACGCGATAAAATAAAATAGATTTTATATATCTCACCTTTGAATGTACCCAAAATAACTAAAACATCTTCGTGCGGAGATTAAGAAATATCCTATTACTTCCTCTTTATCATCGTCTTTGATTTAAGACCACTCGCAACAAAGATAATTAACATTTTGACTTTCAAATGTTCGAAATATTTAAGGAAGCCACGAGAGATAATGAAAATAAAACCAGATCGGAGGCATTTTACTCTTTTTATTCCCTTGCATTTCTCAAGGGTATCAATTGAGCGTGACATGAATTGAAAACTACTCTGGCATTGAATAAAACAAAAAAAATCAACGGTGTTTCTTACTGCCAGTGGGCCATTCCACCCTTTTTTCGATCAAGTAATACTGACATAATTGATGAGAAAGTCTTATGTCAGAATTCAAGGATACATGTTGAGTGACTAGAATTGACTGGAAGAATATCTCGCCAATGCGACTTTCTGAATTTAGTAATTAAGATGTATAAATTTTTGTGTGTGTTACTTTGCAAATATATGTTATTTTTATGAGTGCTGCGAGTTTTAACAGTTATTTATGTTTGTTTGCATGAGTTTTGACTAATTTAAACGAGAGCGTTTTCTTTAGAGTTTGTACAAAAATATAAATAGTTTGTAAAGTTTTCTACTTAATTGGAAATTAGTATAATGAACGAAAAATAATTTCTTAGAGAGATTAAATATAAAAGAATATATTTATTTCAAAGTGCCATAGTGCGTTAACTTTAATTTTGGTGCTCTAGAAAATTAGAAAAATATTAATTAAGTATAAAAAAACTAAATAAGTATAACGAAACTTATTTTAAAGAAGTCGTTTTGCTATCGGGTTGGCAAAATATAGGTTTAGATAAAAAGAGGTAACAAGCCTAGTGAGGATATTTTTTTTGCAAAGGATAACAAATAATAATAGTTAAAAATATAGGAAAAGGTGTAAAATAAACTTGAAAAATATTGGAGAAGATAAAAAAACAATGTATTCCCTCTATAAAAAAACCTCACCTGACTATAGTAACCAATATTTTTACCTATACATAATATTTTGATATGTATAGATATAGGTATTATATACATCAGAATATTGATTGGTAAAAAATATTAGAAAGAGGAATGAACTTTTTAGAATCTACTTTTGTTGTGCTTAAGTATTTTTTTAAAAATACATGTTAAAGAAGCTTAAAATTCAATCCTATATAATATTTTTCACCTGAGAAAGCTAAGCCAAACAATGAATTCAATATATTCAATGAAGTAAATTCAATAAATAATTCTCATATTTATTCAAAAGTAAACAAATATGCTATAAAATTTAATTTAAAGATAGTATAATATTTAATCAGAAACGTCATGATAGATAATTAATAATTAATAACACGAATAAAATAAACAAATTGTTTACCTAAAAAGAAGTGAACCAAGCTGACTGTCATTTGCGTGAACAAATTGGCAAATTATAAACATTATTATTGTCAGTCATTTTAATTAGATTCAATCTTTTTGAATGAAGATGCGGCAGGTGAAATGAAATCCTTTTGTTATTTGGAAGTGACGTAGTACATTTCCGATGATTTATGCAACTGGTTTCACATGAATTCTATTCATAATATTATTGTCTTTATTGTTCAAAAAAGTACAGTTACATTGGTATAGTTTGAAGCAGCATTGAAAGTAAACCGAGAAACAGTGTGATATTATGAATCTTGAAGTGCACACATTTAACAGTATTTCATTCAGTTACTATTTGTTTAAAAAACAATTAAAAACGTCAAAAAGTTTACGAATTATTAACGAGAAAAGCAAGTAGGATTTAAAACATCATACTTTCTTAATTATTGGAAAAATATTGATCTATTAAGTATTTTAGCCTGTTATAATATATAAAATGCTTGATATTTTGTTTTAATTTCAAGATTTTCAGTGAATATGCAAACTAATCTCTAACATCTCAAATATGATATTTGAAAGTCAATGCCGGCTATTCGCCATGAAATTTTTTCAAGGAAGGCATTTTTAAGTTTGGTGGACTTTTTTCTCGAAAAAGGGTGCAGACAGTAGTTTAATTTAACGGTCAATTTTACTAATTGTACAGAAATTCATTACAATTACCGGATTCAGGGCGTTTCGTTTTAAAGAAGAAAGATGGCCGTAGGAATACACGGCGAATTCTCCGAATTTTACTGAAATTTCAGGGAATGAATAGTTAGAGAATATCTTCATATCAGTTGAAAGAATATATTACAATTTTGCGATAATGAGTTGATATAAAAATTTTACTTTGTTGAAAGAATATTGTAGAATTTTACAATAATGAGGAAACGTAAAGTAATTTACTGTGTTGAATAAATGTAATAAGAACTTCATGATGAAGAGGAGATATAAATTTTATTGTGTTGAAAGAATATAGTAGAATTTTACGATAATGTGAGGATATAAAGAGTTTTATTGTGTTGAAGGAATGTAATAAGAACTTCATGATGAGGCGAGGATATAAAAGAATTTTACTGTGTTGAAAGAATATTGTAGAATTTTACGATAATGAGAGGATATAAAGTATTTTACTGTGTTGAAAAATATAATAAGAGCTTCATGATAAGGAGGAGATATAAATTTTATTGTGTTGAAGGAATATAGTAGAATTTTACGATCATGTGAGGATATAAAGAGTCTTATTGTGTTGAAAGAATGTAATAAGAACTTCATGATGAGGAGGAGATATAAATTTTATTGTGTTGAAGGAATAAAGTAGAATTTTACGATAATGTGAGGATATAAAGAGTTTTATTGTGTTGAAGGAATGTAATAAGAACTTCATGATGAGGCGAGGATATAAAAGAATTTTACTGTGTTGAAAGAATATAGTAGAATTTTACGATAATGAGAGGATATAAAGTATTTTACTATGTTGAAAAATGTAATAAAAGCTATATGATGAGGAGGAGATATAAATTTTATTGTGTTGAAGGAATATAGTAGAATTTTACGATAATGTGAGGATATAAAGAGTTTTATTGTGTTGAAAGAATGTAATAATAACTTCATGATGAGGAGGAGATATAAATTTTATTGTGTTGAAAGAATATAGTAGAATTTTACGATAATGGACTATTAAGAACAAAGCTACAGCTTATTCTAGAGTAGAAAAAAATCAGCATGTAACGAATTTCATATACAAAACAATATAACATATTGCATGAAAACAAAATAATATTGTGTATAATTTTATACACAAATAAGCAAGATATTTACTTACTATTTCAGTCCTTTCTTCCATGCCGCAAGTTCAGCGAAGACAAGCATGCGACGAGAGATAGATTTGAGCATTCCTGTACAAAATTGAGGAGCTTGGGACGATATAGGTGTAAGCAAGAGTGATATTTTTACATCAAACGATTCCTAAAGGTGGTTTCCATGTAGGTATTTTATGGATTTACAGAATTTCCATTTGATAACAACGCAATACAGAAAAGACACATGCAAATTGTATCGTTTTCAACGAGGAGTTTTCCTAACCAGGAGTTTTTAAAATCCACTCTATACTTAGTTTCTCAACTTCTCTACTACGTGGGGAGTGGTGGGATGAAGGTGATAATAAATTTCAGTGTTTGGCTCGATATGTAAAGATCGTATATCTTTTGTCTTAAGGTTCAAAGGAACATATCTGTGTATATGCATGTATAAAAACCTGTACAGTGAGTGAAAATTAACGAGCAACCCTGAATAACTTTTGATCTAATAATCGGATCCTCACATTCTAGGACTCAATCTTAATTGATCGAAGGGATGACATCAAGTATGTTAATTTATTAGTGCAGACAATATTTTAAGATACGAAATCAGACACAAAAACGCACTTTCTCTGAATAAGCATATCCTTTTCTGAAAGGATTCGGATTTCTAGCCTCATATGATAGGGAGTAGCCACAATCTGCGAAATATGGTCTTCATAGTTTGGTCAGGTGTGCTGTCCAAAGTTTGAACCCTTTAATGTTAATTTGATTTTTTTGCGTATTTCGCCATATCTCGAAAACATTTTAAGGGAATTGAGAAAAAATTTCAAACAATTATAAAATTTGTCTAATGAAAGATCCATCCATTCGTTTATACATACATACATTCATTTTTCAGGGTTTCTTAGACTCATTTCTTTCAAACGATTTGAAGTTTTGTATTTTGTCATTCCGAAACATAAATAGAAGGGGAGAGTGGGGTCAATTGTAAAATTTTTTACTTAATTATTTTTAACTAACAAAAAATCCAATATATTATTAGTATTAATTGACAGACAAGTAAAGTAGACTATCCTCTACTAGAAAAAAAAAACTTATTTTAAATGTTATTATATTAGTTATTAACAATTTTTGACAGTCGAGCACTTGTTACAATTGTCCCCACTTACGGGGTCAATTGTAACAGTTCATAAATTCAACTAAAACATAGTTAATTATACATATTATCATAGTTGTGATATATTTTTTTATTGATCAAAATAGTAGTGATATTTTAGGAGTAAAAATAATAATGAGCAGAGACCTAAAGGGTTAAGCTTTTAACTTTAAGGGGTTAAAAATTTTAATTTATGCTGTGAAAGGTGACAAATAAAATAATGCGCACACAGCATAATATAAATGATATAGGAAACTATTAGTGTTTCTTAAAGAGTTAAGTAATGGTTTGCAAACATAAGAAATGGGATCTAAGGGGTTAAACACTTGCAATTGAAATTACGAATTTTATTTTCAGCTGTTACAATCGTCCCTTTACTTATTGTTACAATCGTCCCCAAGACGTCATTTCAGCTTCATTTGTTAAAAACAATGCTAGTTAATTAACAAAACAAATTTTTTTCTGTTGAAATGTTAATTAAGGTGTCCACTTACATATTCGGTTAATAATTTTTATTTGTTTAAACAAAATTACTTTGTTACAATATAATATTCTAATACCAAAAAAAGTACTTACGTAGCGTGAAAATATCTTTTGTGATGTAACTCTTTCAAAAGTACATAAAAATGGTTGCAAGCAGGGGTGTACATGTAGATTTATTAAATAAACCTTGTGCGCCACCTAGAAACCAAATCTAGAACCCGACACTCGAAATTTTTGCTCTGTTACAATCGTTCCCTTTACAATTGATTCCACTCTCCCCTAAATGTAAAAATCTATATATCCAACTGTAATTTATATATCTAACCACTGTCCATAATTGTTTATTTAAATAATTAAAACCAACAATCAATTATAAAGAATAACACTGGGAAACAAATGTTTTATTGCATTTATCCAAGTACCTGATCTTAACCAATTTGGGTATGGGAATTTCAAATTTGAAAATAATTTTGTTCTAAAAGCTGCGGCCTTTTTTTTATTTATTTTTAACATGATATTTTAACTTTAGTTTATTTTTGTCTGAATGTATAATTTTATAAGGTTTGTAAGGGTTTATGCACGCACATTTTATAATATTATATTATAACCTTAGTTGAACAGCTGACCCAATTTTATGGGTTTACGACGACAACTGTTCAACCCCGTTTGCCTTGTAATTTTGAACCCAATCCAGAAGACAAGGGAACTCCTGGATCGAGTATTGGGAGAAATTTGCCTTCGTGGAGGACTTTTTGATGGAGTTAACCCGCTTTTTTAAAGTCCTTCAAGTTCCCATGACAAATCAATACCTCGGGGAGTACTGAATCAAAAATTGAGATCTTGTTCTGGTTCAGGTCAAAAATATGATCTGCAGATAGATGGTGCGCGAATGTATCCTCCCTGTAAAACGGGTCTTGACATGTGTGTGGCAGAAGACAAATTCTTGGTCATAGAATATGGGAATACTGGGAAAACGGAATAAGCTAACCCTTCTGTCTTAAAAACAGGCTTGTCAGTATTGACAAGTGGCATAAGACAACAATAAGGATACACATCCGGCATCATCCGAAACGTAGAATGAGAGGTTCAGTGCTTGTAGAAAAAGTAATTGTTCTAACAGGTAAAAGCGTTTATCTCTTTCAGAGCAATTATTTTTATATTATTAATTTGCAGACTATGCTTGTCGAATAAAAATCACTCCCAATTAGTATGATAGCTTCTTATAAACTTATTAACACTGCAAAGGGTTAATATCTTAGGTATTTTGAATTTTCTTTTTTTATTGAAAGTGCATGGTTTTTGATCAAATTATGTTTAAAATCTGCCCCCAAAACAGTATTTTTTTGACATTGAAATTATTTTACCAAAGTCAGAATGTATGAAAAATATAAACTCAGATGATTAAGTGAATATAGAGGATTTTAATTTTTAATGTTCTAACAGCAGAGTTTACTGAACTCTGGAAAAAAAAGATGTCCTTTTCGCTCACTATGCGAAGACGTTTTGTGTGAGTTTCAAGATTATATTAAATCAATCACTCACATCTGCAATTATTTCAGGAGCTTAGTGGGTGACCCAGGAAAGTGACATTTTCAGAGTGGCTGTAATCAGGGTTAGTAAATAAAAGCGGTATCCGAACTATTTTTGTTATAGGTTTAATATAAGGCGTATCGAACAATTCTTTACCTCATTTAATTTGCCGATACCTCATTAGAAATAAAAGCGGTGCAAGCATGATCAAAACTAATGAGGACTAGTTACTAGTCATGTTAAAATAAAAGTGAAAACAAAAACAATTCTGTTACAAACATACCCAGAATAAGGCAACCACCTTAAGTTATTTTTCTCTGACTAATACTCCTGAAAATGTCACTTGCCCGCATCCTCCACTATACTCTTCATTTGTTTTTCGTATTCTTTTCGTAGCACCACACATTTATTTATTTTTATTTATTTTTTTATTTATTTATTTTATTTATTTTCTGCGCAATTAGAATAGAGTTCATACGTTTACAATCATTTCATATAAAAAAAGTAATTTAAAAATAATTTTAAAAAAATGTAATTACATATTTATTGTTTTTTTTAACAGAAATATTTGTAAGAAAGAAATAATTTTTTGTAGGGACTTAAGTTAAAGTTTCAGAAAGTAGGAGAGAGAGAGAAAAAATTGTAATAAAAATAATAAAGAGAAGATTTCCGTATCGGATCCACCACCAAAAATGTCGCCAAGTTTTAGTGACAACCAGTTTTTGGTACGCAAGTATGTAAAAATAAATAAGTAAATAATTAAATAAATCAATGCAACTGAAGTGCAGTCTTGGAGGGTGAAATTCATAAGAGTACGTTTTAATTTAAAAAATCCAAGCAGTGGGCTTGGCATTTGCAGTTGGCGCAATTAGGATCCGATAGGGAAATTTCCTCGAACTATTTATTATAAAACACTATTTGGCATAGTTTGAAAAAAATAAAACTTTTTGTTTTTGCTGATTTTTTTTGAATTTTTTCCTCTCTTGATTCGGTTTAATAAATCTACATCCAAATTAATTGCAAAACCATTTGTATTTTCCGCCGTACTTTTGAAAAATCATATGCCATTTTTAATGTCCGCACTTCAGTGTTTCTTCCTGAAGGGTAGATAATTCAGCAAAAAAGATTGCGTTTTGCCAAATCATTTAATCATAATTATTTTGTTAGGTCAAAATTATAGCGAAATCATGCTCTCTTTATTTTTCTGTAGTTCTTTTTTGAAATAATTACATGCCATATGTTATTTCCGCACTTCAATATTTCTTTCCGATATTTAAACAAGAAAGATAGCACGCAGCCAAATTATGCAAGCACAATTTTTTTATTCGGTTTCAGGCACTCTACCCAAATTTATAACGAAATCGTGCTCTCGGTATACTTCGGCAATTCTTTTTGAAGTAATCATACACCATATTCTTTCCGCACTTCAATGTTTCTTCTTGAAGGGACGATAATTCAACAAAAAGGATTGCATATTGCCCAATCCTTTCACCGTAATTTTTGTCTACCGGAACAAGGCATATCTTGTCATTCATATCTTCATAATTACAAATGGCACAATGTGGGTTTCGATAATAGCTATAAAATGTTCCATCATTACTTAGAATTCTCGTCAAAGCCATATAAGACATGCACTTCTTTTCGATATCTTCATCAGTCCAATCATCAGCGCATTCCGAAGTCATATCGAAATTATAACAATAGGGTAAATTACTTTTTAATTGATCCGGTATACGCACGACAATAGAAACATCCAGCTTTAGTCCTTCCTCAAGGATTATGTACCATGAATCTATACCACGACGCACATCTGGAATTGATTTAAGCTCAAAAGATACATGTTCATTTTTTAGTCTTAAATCCCATGGTATCGGTTTTTCTTTTCCATTGTTTCTGTTGCAAGCGAAGCAGTAGTGGTTCTTATACGAAATACCTGTTACTGGGTCAGTAACGGGTATTGCCAAGAAAGGATCTTTTAACTTCTCCGCCTCTCCGCTGCAAAACTTTTCTGTGGTTTCGTCGTATAACATTTCGGGATCGCAACTGTTTATCATAGGTAAATATAAATCTTGTCCTTTATGCTGGTAATATTCACAATCATAGTTTTTAAGAGGTACAACTTGATTGTTTCTATATTTAGAATCTGCGCAGCATGTTCCGAGGAGATTGCAGGAAACACCACAGTTGCAATGTTCGAAAACTTTATGTTTTCTGGGTATTTCGCAAGAGTCTAGACCCTTGCATGTTGCATTCAAATCTTGAATATCCTTGTATGTAACGTCAGATAAAATTGTCTTAAAACATTCTAAGCTTATGAGAGTCTTGAAAAAAACCAATAGAAGAGATTTAGGAAATGCTTTCCATTGTAACTCCATGAATGGCTTGATCTAAAAATAATATAAAATTTTATAAATAATATTATTTTTTAAAAATGTTGTTTAAAAATTATAGTATTTATTAGGCTTTTCCTGCAAAATGGTATTTCAAATAATAAGGTGTCCCAAATTATAAAACAATTCGAAAGTTTATGACAAATAATACAATAATTTTGTATGCATTATACGCCTTAAATCCTGATATTAGTATCTGAATTGAAACTTTCCAATTTAATACAATTATTACAGTAAATTTTTACTAAAATCGAGTTTTTTTTTTTTTTTGAATTTTCTGAATGCTTATAATGTGCGAAAACTGTCTTGAAAAAGAACATTTTGAGAAGATTTCACGATCAAATTTGAGCTACGTATCTTGCAACAAATACGTTTGGTCAAGTTTAAAATCGAGATTTCACCGTAAAATTTATTTTTCAAATCGTTTTATATGTTTTTCTTTCTATAACTACTGTCCACTAGGATACAAAAAAATTTTTTCTTCAAAATTTACATTTAAATTTGTGTGTTCTTTAATTTATATACATATACTTGTTAGCCTGTTTCTGGAAATAAAAATCTTGAATATCTTGATAAGATATCTTGCCAATAAAATATTTTGATAAATCTACCAAAAAAAAAAATGATTGTAAATGTGCATAAGTATTTTGTTAAGTTCTAAAACTCGGAGATCTTGATGCATCACAAGAACTCACGTTTGATTCCTGATCTTCTCCAGCAGTGGACTGATCGTAAAGATCTTAGTAGAACTCCTGTTTTTTTTGTGGGTCGGACTACCAAAGAGAGGAAGCCATCCCCTCGGCAGAGAATCAAAATTGTGATGGCATGTCTTTGACCATCCTCAGGAATGTTTTCCAGACTATCCAGACGGAAGATATTCCTGACAATTGCGATCGAAAGAGAAGAGACTGTATCTAAAAGAACCACATGTTATTCGAATACAAAGTTTAAAGAAAGAAATTTGGAGTTCAAAAGCAAACCTCGCTCCGGTCGTCCAGCTGAGTTCAATAAGGTGAGATTAAATCAACTTTTACATGGAAAATCGCCAAAGAAAATGAAATTTTCATTTATTTATAAAGAAAATGGAATTTTTTGATGGCTCAGGGGGTAGAGCGTCTTCCTTCCAATAAGGTGACCCGGGTTCGAATCCCAGTGATGGCTGGTCGATCCAAATTCCGGACTCGGCTCGCATCGATCACAGCTGACGTAAAACATCTTCAGTGTTAGGCGGATCATGGGTTCGAGTTTTTTTTTCTAACCGTGGGAGGTTATCGTGATTTTCCTTTCCATGTAACGCAAATGTGGGTTAGTTCCCTCAAAATGTCCTCCACGAAGGCAAGTTTCTCCCAATACTTGATCCAGGAGTTCCCTTGTCTTCTAAATTGGGTTCAAAACTACAAGGCCACGGAGTTAACATTAGTAGTCGTAAATTCATAATTGGGTCGACTGCTCAACGACGGTTATAAAATACTTTCTACTCTCAAAAAGTTGGCAAAATGGCAGGAATATTGTTACTAACCAAATAAATCAATAAAACTTAATAGTATCGGTGCAGGTAATAGAATACTGGAAGTTTTACATTAACTATTGTGAATCAAAAGATATTAAAAATCCAGATATTAACTGTTGATTGGCTAAAACTGTTTTCAAAATTTGTGTCCCAACTCATATTTTGACATAACTATTGGTGCATTTCAAATCAAAAGAGACATCATGAACTTTATTTTTCATTTATTTACAAAAGAACAACTTTCTAGATACATACAGAATACTAGTTCTTTTTAAGAACTCAGTATTAGTATCTTTAAAATAAAAATCTTGTTCCTGAATAACAAATTTGACTTATGTCGACATGAAATTATGAAGTTTCCTATGAAGCCATGAGTTTGACATTTAAGGGGTAAATCGGAACATCTCTTTTATGGCTAGAGAGGAGAAAAAAATATCCCGAAAATTAAGATTGAATCAATGAATTGACTTTATAAGGACTTCCACTTTGACCTCATAGCAAAATTTCTTTATAACCTAGTTAACAGAAGAGTCCTATATCGACTATAGCAGGAAATGTTCAGTTGATACTGGTGTTTCCCAGCAGCACTAAATTTGAAACAAAACGCAAACGTTCTTTTAAAACATGTTTATTTTGCTTTTAAAAATAATAATCAAATGCAATCAACAACTATATTCACTAATGCCGACTTTTGTAAGGAAAATTATAAAACCCGTTTGAATTTTTATTTTATCTCTTGACTTTTAACCATTGATCGAAGTAAATATAAATTAAATGCTATTTACCTCAAAAGCGTTGAAATTCTCTATGTGGTATACCTATTTCTACGGATATGCGTCAATTTGACGCGATCATAATTTAGACAAAAGTTTAAGTAAACAAGCAATTATCACATCAATAATAAATAGGAATGTACCGACAATACTTCGATTCGTTATCTCAAATAAAACAAGTGATAAACAACTGTTGCCGATAAGCAATAATAGAAAGAACAAACGCANACGTTAACAACTAAGTATACATATACATTGGTTTCTAAGTGCAGAGATGCCAACTGCTCCGGACACGCGAAAATAATTTTAAAAAAATGATAAATTACAACAAAGTAAATTCTGAAATATGAAGTGGTGAATTATATAGGCCTACGAATTATTTAGAAATAAGGGTGGATAAAAATCTACTAAATTGAATTTATTAAATTAAGAATCACAATTCTTTCATACGTCAAATTGACGTGTGTCCGTAGAGATAGGTATATAAGAAACGTCCGTAAACCTAGTGTTAAGGCCTAAATAGTAATGAAAGGAGAATTACGATATTGCATATTTTCCGAGAGCTTAAATTTACTTATGTGTGACTTAGAATTGTTCTGGTTGCTCAGTACCAGTCCTGGTAGGCTCTCTTCATCGGATTTGACATGATTCAAAACGAAGATAATAACATGGCTAGTCATATAGTCTAGTATTTGAACTTTTGTAATTTATTATGCACTTATACATACGTTTTCAATTTGTTCACATATAAAGCTTAAGCATTTTCAACTAAATCTATATATCCAATATGGAAATAGAAAAGAACAAGTTTGATCACCTTAAACGTAATAATAAAAGCTGCCGGAAATTTTGGAGAATCTGCAGCTGTGGGGCATCTGTTAGATTAAGAAATGAGATTAGTTTTAAAAAATAGTGCAGGTAACTTTAACTTAAAAGAAACTATCTCTGAGAATATTAAATCTAGAAATAACTATATTTCTTTTAATGTAATTATGTGTTTTTGTCGAAATATTTACTTTAAAGCAGAATTTTTTTTATATATAAATGATATTTGTGTGCTTTCTTAGACCAATTTTCAGTGTTAATAATGTTAAGCTTGAATTAAACTAATACAAGAAGTATTTCACTTTTGCGTGATTTTCGCTTAATATTGAGTAAAAAAAATGGCACCCAAATTTCTACACCAAATGTTTCTTCGAAAATTAACCTTATTCTGTGCCAAACTCTATATATTTAGTTCAGAAGTGTTGCGATTCAGTGCACTTTACCTTTTTCACTTTAAGTGTTTTTGCAGTATTCTCTATCCGAATTTCTTACGCCACTGTGCTTTCGGCATTTTTCTACAGCTCTTTGCAAAATAATCATACACCATGTTGTCTTTACAATCCGTTTCGTTCTGAAGATTGTATAACTTAACAAAAAAGATACCGTCTTTCAAAGAATTCTTATTGTCATCCTCGTCATTATCATAGTCATCGTCATCACCCTCGTTACCATCATTTTCGCTACTGTCATTATTGTCATCATAATTCTCGTCACTATTACCCTTGTCATCATTATTTTCACTACTCTCATCATCATCACCCTCATCTTCATCACCACCATTCCGGTCGTTTTCATTGTCATCACTTTCATCGTCATCAGCACTATTCTCATTACCATCCCCTTTGTCACTATCATCATCATCGTTATCATCATTTTTGTCACTATCATTTTCGCCATCTTCATTTTCGTCACCATCATTCTCACTGTCTTCATTCTCGTCACCATCATCCCCGCCACTTTCATCTCCGTCGCTATCATTATTGTCACCATCATTTTCGCCTTCATTTCCATCATCATAATTCTCACTACCATTATATTCGTCTCCGTCATTATCATCGTTACCATCTCTCACGTCACCATTGTCTTCGTCACCATCACTTTCGCCATTATCGTCATCATCATTGGAATCTTCAGAGCTTGTTTCCGTTTGGAGACATTCCATGTCATCAATACTATGATGATTGCAAACAGCACAATGTGGATTTCGGTATTCTATATAAAATGTGCCATCACTGCTTAGAACTCTTGTTAGAGCCATATAAGAAGACTCACATTTTCTTTTAATGTTTGGATCACCAGACCAGTACGAAGCACATTCCGACCACACAAGAAAGTAACAATGAGGGACAATACTTTTCAGTTTTCCCGGAATAGATGTATGCAAATAAACTTCGATTGCAATTTCCTGTTCAAGGGTTATGAACCATTTTTCACCATCAGAGTGTAGCTTAGGAATTGTTGAGTTTTTCAGTTTTTGATGTATGCAATCACTCTTCAATTTTAAGTTCCATGGTACTGGCTTTTCTTCTCCATTATTTCTATTACAAGCGAAACAATAATGGTTTTTGTATGAAATACCTGTTACAGGATCGGTAACGGGTATTTTCAAGAATGGATCGTTTAACTCTTCGCCACTGCTCTTGCAAAGATTTTCAGTAGTTTCATCGTATAGTACATTGGAATCGCAACTGCTTATCATAGGTAAAGAACGGACTTTTTTACGATAGTTAAAATCTTGGCACCTTATGTTTTTTAGTGGTTCTATGTATTTGTTTCTATATTTCGAGTCCACGCAACATGTCCCCATAAGATTGCAAGAAGCACCGCAGTTGCAATGTTCAATAATGTTCTCTCTTCTTGGTAATACACAAGAATCTAATCCCTTGCATGTTGCATTCAAATCTTCGATGTCTTTATACGTCACATCAGGTAATGGAGAACAAAAACATTCTAAGTTTATGATAGACTTTAACAAAATCAATTGAAGAATGGTTGAAAATGCCTTCCAATGAAACTCCATGAATAGTTCGATCTAAAAATGATATAAAGTTTTGGTAAATGCTAATAATGTTCTTAAATAACAACTGAAAATGTTATAAATGAGATGTTTCAGAAAATTGGCAAATGGAACTTGTTAAAACAAAATAACGGCAGGACCGAAATGACGAGGCCTAAATGTTATGAACCGCCATTGTTGAACCGCCATTGTTAAACCAAATGTTATGAACCGCCATGTCGCCAAATGTATGAAACTTCAGAAATGCGAATTTAAAATACACATTCTTCTAGGATGATCATCAGATTGTGAATGAGAGCCTAATTGTTGTAGGCCTAGTGTGATATTAATTATGATATCTTTCTCCAAATCAATGATCTAAGCGGGATGTTTTGGTCCCTTCATTTTGATCCTACCATTTTAGTCCCATTTCTTCATCAAAATTAAAAGAAAAAGCGAATATATATTGGGGACCGCAAGTTTACTTTTAAAGGAAAAGAAAACAAAAGATATATCGAAATCTGATGAATTATTCGCTATGTTAAATGAAAGTTCGCTAAAGTTTAGATTTTGCTTTTACTTTTTAAAATGAAAGATTCATATAAACGCTACATTGTATTTCAGATGTGATGTTAAATTATAATTTAGCTTGCTTTGAATTTTCACTCAATGGTTTGATGCTTTATTGCTCCGAAAAGCTCGATTGTAATTGAAATGGCAAATCAACTACTATAGGCAAATCGAATTAGTAACAGGACTGAATTGGAAAGGAACTGACATGGCAACGGTACCGAAACGACGTAATCAAAAGGTTAACAGGATCGAAACGGCAACGGGACCGAAACGGCGAGATCAAAATGGTAGCAGGATCGAAACGGCAACGGGACCGAAACGGCGAGATCAAAACAGTGGAACTGTAACAGCGAGATTGAAACGGTGAGATTGAAATGGCGGGACTGAATGACGAGGCTGAATTGTCATGGACCACCAATGGTTGTTAATTGTATGGAGCTTCAGAAATAGCGGACCGAATGGCGAGGTTGAATTGTCATGGACCACCAATGGTTGTCAATTGTATGAAGCTTCAGAAATAGCGGACCGAATGGCGAAGCTGAATTGTCATGGATCACCGATGGTTGTCAATTGTATGAAGCTTCAGAAATAGAGGACCGAATGGCGAAGCTGAATTGTCATGGACCACCGATGGTTGTCAATTGTACGAAGCTTCAGAAATAGCGGACCGAATGGCGAGGATGAATTGTCATGGACCACCGATGTTTGTCAATTGTATGAAGCTTCAGAAATAGCGGACCGAATGGCGAGGCTGAATTGTCATGGACCACCGATGGTTGTCAATTGTATGAAGCTTCAGAAATAGCAGACCGAATGGCGAGGCTGAATTGTCATGGACCACCAATGGTTGTCAATTGTATGAAGCTTCAGAAATAGCAGACCGAATGGCGAAGCTGAATTGTCATGGACCACCGATGGTTGTCAATTGTATGAAGCTTCAGAAATGGCGGGATTCGAATGACGAGACTGAATTGCCATGGACCACCAATGGTTGTCAATTGTATGAAGCTTCAGAAATGGCGGGATCCGAATGACAAGGTTGAATTGCCATGGACCACCAATGATTGTCAATTGTATGAAGCTTCAGAAATGGTGGGACCGAATGGCGAGGATGAATTGTCATGAACCACCAATGGTTGTTAATTGTATGAAGCTCCAGAGCTACTATACCGTTCTTAAATTCTACTGCACAATATCAATCATCTTGGAACAGCCCGTTGTGATCCGGAGGAGGAATCATGAAACAAGCCTCCCCATTTGCGTGATCAACAACAATATAGAAGTAATGTGTTCAGCATTTTATAACGACCGTCGTTAGTGCATAAAGCAGTGGGAATTTAATTTTCTATCAATACCTTCAAAAAGAAAATCACTCATGAAACAGTCCGTTGAGTTCCAGATGATTCATAAAACAATCCTCCAGATTTGCGTGATCAACGACATTACAGAGGCAATGTGAGCAGCATTTTGTACCGACCGTCCTTAGTTCGACCCTTTAGCATAAAACATAGGCTACTTTTAAAAAGAAAAGCATTCTTGAAACAGTTCGTTGCGATCCAGAAAGATCATGAAGCATATTAGCGTGATCAACAACATTATGGAGACAGTATAATCATTTATTTGAATCAACAGTTGTTTGGCCTTGGCCTCTCTTTAGCATAAAACATTGGAAACTCAGTTTTCTATCCATATTTTTGAAAGAAAAGCATTTCTGAAACAGTCCGTTGTGTTCTAGATGAATCATAAGAAACTCCTCTAGATTTGCGGGATCAACGACATTACGGAAGCAATGTGATCAGCATTTTGTACTGACCGTCCTTAGTGCTACCCTTTAGTATAAAACATTGACTTCTTTTAAAAAGAAAAGCATTCTTGAAACAGTTCGTTGCGATCCAGAAAGATCATGGAACACATTTGCGTGATCAACAACATTATGGAGAGAATATAATCATTATTTTGAATCGACAGTTGTTTGACCTCCCTTTAGCATAAAACAGTGTTTCCCAAACTTATGACTTTTGCGTACCCTTTCTAAATTTTTCGTAATGCTGTGTACCACTAATAAAAAATGAATGTAATTTTTACTAAAAAAAAATTGCACAAAAGTTAAAAATCACAACTGGCTGTTGACACCACTAATTATTAACTGTTGACCCTGCAAAAAATAGCCCATTGAAAAATACGCAAATCGTAAAGTTTCATGGTTAGCTTTGTTTTTAAATAAAAGTTTTTGAAATTTTCGTTTGCTGCAATTTATTTCGCATTAGAACACGTACCCCCGCTAAGCTGTTCCCGTACCTCTGGGGGTACGCGTACCACACTTTGGGAAACACTGGAAAACATTGGAAACCCACTTTTCTATGGTTGCTTTTAAAAAGAAAAGCATTTAGTGACAGATACTAGTACCTTACCTGTTGTACTATCAGGGTTTATTATTACTTTTATTTTCAATAAATCGCAATTTCTCCGAATTTCCATAATTAAGCAAAATTTTAAACAATATGCGTGGTCTGCAATACATTAATGTCCATAAATACGTGTTATTTTTAATCAGAGTTACATTTAAATTAAATTAATAATTTGTTGCAGGATGCATATCATCCCTGAAAATAATCAGGCATATTTTTTAAAACAAATTTCTCCATAAGATGTAAGAATTTCATCATATTTTCTCTCTACAGGAGAGTAATGAATTCTATAATTTAAACAGAATAATCAAGATTATTTAATATTTCTTATTTTATAATTAAGAATAATTAAGATTTATCTTCGTATAATTAAGGTTAATTAAGATTTCTTCTTCTATAATTACGATTTCTCCATCTATAATTAAGATTTCTTCTTTAATTAAGGATAATTTAGATTTTTCTTCTATTAAAAATAAGTATTTTTTTTAGCTATAAAGAGTTTATATAAAATTAACTATGTATTAAAAAAAGCAAACTACAATTTTTTTTATTTTTTTTCTACATGATGATGGGATTTAAAGAATAACTAAGAACTCTTGTTCAATACGCACAGTTACTTAACAGCAGTTGATGAACCTCAACCTCGCAATAATTCAGTAAACAAAAAAATATGATATAAATCAATTCAAGAGCAATAATAGAAATTTTAAAATTTACCAGTTTATTTCCAAAAAGAAATTTGTATAATAAATCAATATTTTATGATTTTAAAGACTTTTCTATGTTCTAAAATTTTAGTGCAATGCTCGTAACAGAGCTGACACACACAAGCAGGAAATAATATGGAATTACGGGTTAACAGACAATTTGTGAGCAGAAACCCAAATTCTATTTTCATAAGCAACTGAGGGAAATTTATCATATATATTTGAGAATTGAATCTGTAGTGGTTGACAAGTGAATACAACAAACCAAAAATATTCATAAATTAAACAAATTTTTAGACATATATTTGCTACCACTTTCTAATTTTTACTAGATATCATATTAAATGGTCTACCTTGATAACCTACAAAAAAACGTGTGGAGGCTTTCCGTTATAGGAGGTGTTGGGTAAAGTGTAAGAAAAAGGTGACAGTAAAACTATATTGTTTTCAGTGGTATTGTGGGTAGAGTAAGTTATTCGAAAATGGGGTTCCGATAGTTAAGACTTCTTTCCATTCAATAATCCATTCCTCATTTAAATTTTCCTCATTTAAACTTCAAAAAAGATCTATTAGAATGCATCCTATTCTATTAGAATGCGTCTAGCATTTTTTTAAAATAAAACTTGCACGTTACATGTTTGTCTTAATTTTAAATGATAATCGAACTATGTTGTTGTTTCTAATGACAATTTGACAGGCCGAGCTTGCCAGCCATTTCCTTAGTCAAATCAGAAAGGTGTGTAAAGAAATACACTTTAGAGTGTAAATGATTAGTATGTAAATGATAAATATCAATAAAACGATTTTATCTTAGCTTTCACATTGTTATTTTCAATTCTCGATTATATTCGAGTGTGAAAAATTATAGCAGCATAAAATACAACGTCGCTCGAATTATTTCGAGTGTGCACAATTTGACCTGTTTAGCGCTCTCGAATTAACTCGAGCGCACAAGTTAAGGGGTTAATCAAATCAGAAAGGTGTCTCTTCCTTTGTCAAGAAAGCATTGCAAGGATGAAAATACGCCTTAGCTCAAAACCCCACTGATAGATAACAGCACCACTAATTCGTAGGGCCACTTCTTCAGTTTAGACATAGATTTGAAGGGGAAGGAAATTTTCTCCAAATCAATGTACACATGGTACTACTCAGTGACTGACCTCAGGACTTTAGATTCCACAGATTTTACGAGCACGTATATTCCATGTACTCGTTGGGAGTCAAAGACTCGGAGTCAAAGACCGAACCCCGGACCCTCGGAACCGGAGTCTGATTCTCTAAACTCCGGTTCGACTAAGCTGTTTTGAATGTAAACTTTTTTAATAATATATTTTTTTCCGATAAATTGTTTTTGCACATATGAGCTAGTGACATGGGTTTTATTAAATTAATAACATTTGTATTAATACATAGATCCTAGGTTCGA